CCCCGCCCCCTCTCACTGTGCACACCTGCGCCCACTGCCCCTGTCCCTCATCACTACTTTGTACCTCCTCCACCCTGGGAGATTCCTTTTCACCACTCACTTGTGCACACCGGTGTCCCACTGACATCCAGGGATGCTGCTTTAGTGACAGAAGAGGCAGTGAGTGAGGAAGAAATATGGCCTTGATTTTCCTGGTGAAATTTGTCCAGCAAAATGTCAATGTCACCCTCTGCCCAAGACAGAATAAACAAATGGGTTTTCCATGTCAGTGAAGTTCAGCAAACATCTACAGGGCAGTTAGTGTCAGGTACTGTCCTGAGGCCTGGAGTCGTGAAGGTAAAGAGGACGTGGCCCATCCTGTCAAGGGGTCTTAGCCTAGTTGGGATGAAGACACACTGCCAGAGTGAGCTCCCCCAACACAGACACAGCCGGTGCTAGGGCAGAAGGAAGAACAACATGGTAAAGGACAAAGGGGAAGGTCCCAAGCCCATCTGGAAAATGAAGGGCCTGAGAAGCTTTCTAGGGGTACATGAGATGAGTCTTGAGGGGTGGGTAGCTGGGCAAACAAGGGAGAAGGACGCTCACAGCCCAGAGCACAAGGGATGCGGAACTCTCCAGCAAGAGGGAAGACAGGGAAGAGAGGCCACCAATGCTGGAAAGGTGGAGAGAAACAGGTGCAAGGGCCTTGTGTACCGCACAAAGACAGAACCCACAAGGTGCCCTCCACCCCTCAGGAGAACTCTACAGCCCAAGCAGGAAGAGATGGCCAGCCAGAACCCGCGGCTGTCACTCAAGAAAACAAAGGGACAGAAATGCAAGTGCACAGAATGAGGGGCACTCTGCAGTGGAGATCAGCCTTAGCCAGTCACCGGCAGGGTGGGGCAGAGATGACCTCCCCCGGCACTGATTTCTGTCCTATGAACGTATGCATATGCACCTGTCTCATGACAAGCCTACCTGGACAGAGGGTGCTAAAGAAGGCCCCCAGCGAGTCCACCTTCCCTGTAACCAGCTCGTAATTGACTTCCTTCTGGTACTCCGCTGGGGTGAGAAGGCTCTCGGAAAGAATCCGGGCTTGGTATTTTCCTGGAAAGCAAACAGCTTTCACTGTACCAATCGTATCTTCCCTGCTTACTGGCTGTGTGGCCCTGGACTAGCCCCTTAACCCTTCTAGACTGACATTTCCCATCAGGAACCTGTGGCTAACAGCAGGATCTACCTCCCAAGCCTGCTGTCAGGCAACGCAAGATAACGGTGCCTGGCACACGGCAGAGGCTCAGGGTCTACTACTGAATGTCCTACTCACAGCAAGGTAAATAATTTATTTTAAAAAACACACACACACACAGAATGGGTTTAAGATTAAAGAACGCTGGTCGGGCGTGGTGGCTCACGTCTATAATCTCAGCAGTGCGGGAGGCCGAGGTGGGTGGATCACCTGAGGTCAGGAGTTTGAGACCAGCCTGGCCAACATCGCGAAAACCCATCTCTACCAAAAATACAAAAATTAGCTGGGCATGGTGGTGCACATCTGTAGTCCCAGCTACTCAGGAGGCTGAGATAAAAGAATTACTTGAACTCGGGAGACAGAGGTTGCAGTGAGTCAAGATCGTGTCACCGCATTCCAGCCTGGGCAACTGAGCAAGACTCCATCTCAAAAAAAAAAAAAAGAAAGAAAGAAAGAAAAAAATGCTAAAAGACAACTCAGACACTGTACTTAAAAAGTACATTAAACGCCAGGCACGGTGGCTCACGCCTGTAATCCCAGCACTTTGGGAGGCTGAGGTGGATGGATTGCTTGAGCCCAAGAGTTTGAGACCAGCCTGGGCAACATGGCAAAACCCTGTGTTTACAAAAGTACAAAACTGAGCCGGGTGTGGTGGTGCACACCTGCAGTAGTCCCAGCTACTCCGGATGGAGGCGGAGGTGACAGAATCACTTGAGCCCAGGAGCTTGATACTGCAATAAGCCAAGATCTCGCCACTGCACTTCAGCCCAGGTGACAGAGCAAGACCCTGTCTCAAAAAAAAAAAGTGCATTAAATTCTGCACTCTTAAAGTAAATTTTACAAGGTACAAAAAATTCCGGCCGAAAATGCACACTTGTGAAGATTTAAGCAGGCCAAGAAAGCTCATGTGTTTGGTGTCTGCCTCCCCCACCCAAAAGAACACTCTGGGCAGGCAGATACTGCTCTGCTCCCTGTGGGCCCCCAGCCCCTAGAACAGTGGCTGTACATGTGGGGCCTCAATGTGTGTTTTTAAAATTAAATCAATTGGCCGGGCACAGTGGCTCACACCTGTAATCCCAGCACTTTGGGAGGCCTAGGCAGGTGGATCACTCGAGCTCAGGAGTTCGAGTCCAGCCTGGGCAATATGGTGAAACCCTATCTCTAACAAAAAATACAAATTAGCTGGGTGTGGTCCCATCTACTTGGGAGGCTGAGGTGAGAGAATCTCTTGAATCCAGGAGACAGAGATTGCAATGAGCCAAGATCAGGCCACTGCACTCCAGCCTGGGCAACAGAGTGAGACCTTGTCTCAAAAAATTAAATTAATTGGCTCCTGAACACAGACAACACAACAAGGTCATTGCTTTTTATCTCCAATAGATGGGTGAAGAAACAGGGCCAGAGCTCCTGGTGTGAGTGACCACCCACGTGGTGGAGCTGGGTTTTCAACAGGGTCCTTCCACACTCCCAAGCTGACCCCAGGGCTAACCTCACCAGCCACTCAGAGCAGGGATGAGATTGTAACTAAGTCATTAGTCAAGGCTGCCTTCTGAAGCCAGCTACTGAGCACAAACCACAGGTGCTAACTGCTTCTGCAAACCCGGGCCACCCTAGACAGAAAGGGAGAGAACCACCAAAGGAGGGGACCAGGAACTCAGTTCAGGGGGCTTCCCCGCAGCCGCGCGGCCCAGCGCTCACCAGTGACGGCGATGCAGGAGTCGATGGCCGCGCTGCGGCAGGCACAGATGATGACCACGTAGTTGGTCTTGGCGAGCTTGCCCTCGACCAGCAGCCGGAACATCTCGGAGAGGCCCTCGGCCAGGGAGTAGGCACACTCGATGACGTGCACGCTGTCGTTGCAGGAGCTGGCGGCCAGGCTGGCCAGCCAGGGCAGCTGCGCGGAGGTCACGGGTGCCGCGGCGCTGGGCGCGGGTGGGAAGGGCTGCGGCGGCGCCTGCTGGTACTGCCGGATCTCGGTCAGGTGCGACTCGCGCCAAGAGCGCAGGAAGATCTGCTCCAGGTCCTCCATCAAGGGCACCTGGTCCGCGGCTGCAACACAACGCGGGCGGAGGGCCTGCCACAAATGCCAGCGACATCCGGGGACGCGCAGGTGCAGTGATGTGGAAGTACCCATTTAAGTTATTGCTGTGAAATCGTATCACAGACGGCTGGAGCACGAGGGGAGGGCATAAAATCCGCCACAATCTCACCACTGCCCTAACAGAGCCACGGTATTTATGTGTATTTCTTAATCTTTTTTTTTTCCATATGCAAGTTTTTTTTAATTATAAGATGATTTGTACATTTATTTTTATTTTTAAGATTAAGCATCCTCTTTGACAATCCAGAAACATAGTCCTTGCTCACTCTTCGGCCACACACACGTAAAACAGTTAAAAGTGATTCCTTAATTCTCAATGACAAAGTAGGATAAAGGAATATGTTCTCAAGCTGCAGTTCAACTTTTCTGTCCTCTTTTCAAAAGCAAAAATCTTACTTTGTCTTACTTTGCTACCAAGCCACTCACCAACTATAAGGAAAGACAATTTTTCAAAAAGCCAACAAAACCCAGTAAAAAGAATAAGTATCAACCCAAAATTATCACCCAAAACACTGCTGTTGCAAAAAAAAAAAAAAAAAGAGGAGGAAGCCAAATTCCCATAGCTTGTTAGAGAAGGTCTTTAAAAAGAATTCAGAGAGTTAGGACTGGAACCACAGTGGTATAGACAGGTTACACTGTCCCTATGTGCATATACAGTAGTAAATGTGTAGAACATTTAGCCTGGGAATATAGGCTTTCTCCTACTCCAGGACAGGGAATAAAAACATGTGTTGCTGGAATTAATATTAAAATTGTCCCTACAAATAGCTGTAATGATTGTCCATATAAACTTTGGGTCTTGCATTCTTTCCGTAACCGTGACCCTATCATCAGTTTCAGTGCCATTTTCAGCCATCGTAAAGAGCACTGTTAGTGCGTCCATAATGTCCCATCATATGTAAGCACCACCGTAAGTTTACTCAGCAAGGTCTCTATTGTGGATTCTCTTATTTCTTCCAAATATTCACCTTTATAAATACCTCTGCAATGCACATCTTGACGTATAGAACATTACTTCCTTTGCCTAACGTCTCAAAGGTGGATTTACAGAACCAGCTAATATATATCATCAGCTGTCTTCCAAACGGCCTGAATGCATGCGTTTACCACGCAAACGGTGCATTTGACAAGTACTGGTTTTACTGCACCTAAGCACCACTGGGTGCCATCATTAGGGTTATTAATTCAGAAAAAGATGATTTGTGATTCGCATGTCTTTGATGGTGAGTGAGATTGAATACTTTTCAATATTTGTTTCTTTCTGGTATTTTTTCTTTTATGAATTGTCTGGTTTATACGTCCAGATTTCACACTTGATGAGCTGGAGGAAAGCGCACCAGGCTTCCATTTAGAAGGTGGTTCCAGTCCAGCTCTACCCAGCACCAGCTGTGCGGCCCTGAGCTATCTCATACGGTTTTCTGATGCATCACACGCGGTTCATGCCACCTGCTCTGTGGGCCGTGCCAGAATGATTAAATTGGCTTATATCTCCATCTTTGATTGGATGCATTTAATCAGAATTCACTACTTCAATTAGCTCATTAAATTAGAATTTAATTAGATTAGCTGTTATCTCTCTCTCTTTAAAAACTTTCCTTTGAGTCCACATCTTCTTCCAGAACTAAACCCTACCCAGAGCTGTCTACACACGCCATACTGTCTCCTCACCTCCAATCTCTCTAATTCACTCCAATGTGACTTATCCCCAATCTTTGCGTACATCATCATCAAGGTTGCCAATCGCTTCCCATGGCCAAACCCAATGGTCAGAGTCCAGTCTTCCCTCTGCTCAACTCCCAGCCATGCTGGCACAGTTGATCAGCCCCTCTCCTTGGGAATGCTTTTTTTCACTGCTTCTTACCAACATTCGCCTATTCCCTCAATATAGGTTGGCAGACTGTCGACTTGAGCTGTGGATGCTGTGGGGCATCGGGAAAAGGACTCACTGACCATGCCTGGCCTCATGGAGCTTACACCCTAACTGGGGGAGACACACTTAAAGGGAACAATCACAGACCCTAATTCCTGGTACCCTAAAGATATAGGGCATAGGATAGGGGCCTGGAGGGCGGGATCTGTCTTACACACAGTAACAAGAAGGCCTTCCTGAGGAGATGATGGGTGACCTGAAACCTGAAGGACATGAGGGAGCAAGCCACACAAATGTCTTTGGCAAGAGCATGTCACAGGGAAGGAACAGCAAGTGTGGGATGCCTTGGTGGGACCAAGATTGCTGAGGGGTACAGCGGGCTGGGACAGAGCAAGCAGGTGGGACCAGGAGGCAGGCCGGGCCCCGGGGAAGGGGTGGAGTGAGCAACTGATGGGAAGCTGCGGCAGGGCTCTGAGCAGGGAAGAGATGCAATTGGATTCCCAGTTCTCAGGGATGTGGGGAACAGGGCAAGAATAGTGCCCCGGTGAAGGGACAGCCACAGGGAGGGTGAGCGAGGCTGGATTCAGGATGAAGCTGTGCTTACTGACGGACTGGTGGGGACTATGAGAAAGAGGGCAATGCTGGGTTTCCCAGATTCTCCACTGTCCTTTTCTTCCTTCCCACCTGTTCTATCTCAGTCACCTCTTCTGGATCTCTGAAGATTGGAGGTCCCCAGGCTCAAACCTTGGCACTTTCCTCTCCCCGTAGCCACCCGCAGCTGGTCTCACGGCTTTAATATACATCATCTGTAAGCCAATGTGTCTTAAATGTATACCTAGAGCTTCAACCTCTCCTGGGGCTCAAGGCCTGCCCATGCAAATGAACACAGGTGATTGGCTGTCTCGTGGGCATCTTGTACAAACTCATGCCAAGACAGAACTCAAGTTCATTGCTACCATTCACCTGGCTGCTCAGGCTGAAACCCAGGCCCCACCTGCTCCCACCCACTTCAAAGGGATTTCCAGCCGGACTTACCTTCAGAATAGCCCCTCCAGCTCACTGCTGCTGCTCTTAGTGGCCCAAGCCACTCTGTGCCTTTAATAGGCAACAACTGACTCTTTCTCCGTTTCCGCCACTGCGTCTGCACCATCTGACTCCACACAGCAGCCAAGGTGGCGTTTTTAAAGTGAAAATCAGATCACCTTCATCCCCTGCCTAAAAATACTCCGGTGGCTTCTCCATGTGTCTACCACAGCATCACACTCTTGACCGGAGCCTGCCCCCTGTGACCACACCTCTCCCTCACACCCTGTCTCTGCTGCGGCTACACTGGCCTCTCCAGCGACCTGGGATGCTCACTGCTCCCCACCTCACAGTCTCACCTGGCCTCCCTCTCTCCTCAGGGCCCCACCTGTCCTCATTCCTCAGATCAACACAAGGCTGACTCCTTCTCAGGGTCGAGGTCTCTACTCACAGAGGCCTTTCTTCATGCCCCTAAACTGGCCCCACACAGACACACACTAATGCATGCGCCCACCTTTACCTGCCTGTTTTCCACGGGTTTACTGCTTCTGTCTCCCACTAGACTAGAATCGCCTCAAGGGCAGGGTCTTTGCTCAATTCCCTGCTGTATCCCTGTGCCTAGAATGGCAGATAAATACTTTTGGAAATGTCTCCATTAACTTCAGCCTATTTTCGGCCCCTCAGTGTGGGTACGCCCGCAGTGACCTCATGACGTCCTCCCAGTGGAGCCATAAGCTCTCCCCATGTATTTCAATTCCAGCAGCCCCAAGTCAGCCCCCACAAGGGCTGAGGCCAGGTCTGTGCTTGAGCTGTGGCCCCTCCCTGCCACCTGGCCAATAGGTGGAGGTGACTCACCCAGCTGGACCAGGTAGTACACAGTCAGCAGGAGCTGCATCTCCTCAGAGATGGGCTGGATGGCAGAGGCGCCGTACTGCTCGTATGCCCGCGAGACAGACTGGGAATTCTGGTAGCACGTGTACAGGAGGGGGCTGACCACGACGTCATTCAAGTTCCCACACAGGTAAGGGAAGTTCCCGTGGCCTGCAGAGGAACAGCAGCGACTTGGCACCCGGTCTTGTGCACAGCTTATGGCCCCACATATCTGGGTTCTCTGGGGGTGAGGGAGCTGAAGGAGACAAGTGAACTGCGCCAGGTCCCTTGAGTGCCCTGTCCTGGGAAGCCTTGCTCATTGAGTGCACCTGCTCACCCTTCTGGAGCCTACGATGAGAGGAGTCACCTTTTCTAACCAATGGGGCTGTGCGACTTACTGGTTCATTTCGTCCAATCCTCTTATTTTTTACAAGTGAGGGAGCTGAAGGGAGGGACTTGCCCAGAGCCAAGCAGCCACCACCTGTCGCTCCTCCAGCACCACCGATGGGACACCTTGTGGGCAGAGCACCTTCCAGAGCTTCACTGGGTGCTGCCTGCCAGGCCTTGCCTCCCTGACTCCAAGCAGGGAGGATTGTGCCCTGCATCCTCCCTCCCAGGGCTGTCCGGCAAGGTGAGTTGGGATAATACATCACCACAGAGACCAGAAGACTGAGTCACTCTTTTTTTTTTTTTTTTTGAGACAGTCTCTTGCTCTGTCCCCTGGCTGGAGTGCAGTGGCGCGATCTCAGCTGACTCCAACCTCCACCTCCCGAGTTCAAGCGATCCTCCCACCTCAACCTGCCGAGTAGCTGGGATTATAGGTGTGCATCACCACACCCGGTCAATTTTTGTATTTTCAGTGGAGGCAAGGTTTCACCATGTTGCCCAGGCTGGTCTTGAACTTCTGACCTAAAGTGATCCACCCGCCTTGGCCTCTCAAAGTTCTGGGATTACAGGCGTGAGCCACCATGCCCAGCCCATTAGAAGATTCATTCTGAAGATAGCCCTCAGAGGTGGAATTGCCCAGGCCAGGTTCAAATCTCTTTCCACTATTATTTAGCTACATGATGTCAAGCAAGAAGCTGAACTGCCCTAAACCTCAGTCTCTGCATTTGTAAAATCAGGTGAAGCTATCAAATCCTCTCGGGGCTGCTGAGCTCCCAGAGGTGGCACGTGAGTGTGTGTGTGTGTGTGTGTGTGTATGGTTGTGTGTGTGTGTGTGGTATCTTGCACTCCGGGTACTCCATTTAGTCACCAAAAATATATTTTCTGACTTCGGCTGTGTGCTATATGCAGATGTCCTGCCAGGCTTGGAGAGTAAAGCTGGTGCCTGGGGCACAGGTTGTGTTCTCAAAGACATTGCTTCTCAAGGGCTTGCCAAACACCTGCTGGCCCACCCAGAGCTTCTGATGCAGAACTGGGGCCTGATTCGGATTATAGGATGGGTCCGTGAATTCACGCCTCTCATAAGCTCCGGGGCGATGCACGTTCTGCTGGACCGGGGGCTACCATTTGGGTAGCACCACTTACAAATATTGCGGTTGGCAACAGGCAAGGTAAAGAGTTACTATAAAAGCAAGCATGTGACATTTGTCATAAAAGAGGGACAGAGAAGTGACAAGGGGGGCAGAGGAAAGGGAATCTAAGACAACTTCATAGAGAAGGCACAGGGTTGAGTCGTAAGGCCTCAGGAGGGCTTGGACATGTGGCTGTGGGGAACAGGAGTCAGAGACAAGGGCTTCACAGTGAGGGCTGCAGTGGAAACAGAGAGGCAGTGGAGGGAACAGAGCACACCTGAGAACCAAGAGGACAGTCTCTATTCTGAGATTGTTCATGTGAGACGTAGACTGGCTGGGCTTTCTTTTCTGAGGCTCCTGGCTCAAAGCAGAGGCAGGTGAAGCCCTGCCTACACCTCCAAGCCTTGCACCCTGTCCTAGCTCTGTTTCCTGAGCACTGTGTTCTTGAGACCTACCACAGACACATCACGGCCACATAAAAAAATGCATGCAACATGACTGAAAGAATGTTGGCCTTCATTTGAGGTAGACAGTGGGGCCCAGTGGAACTGCCTCGGTCATTGGTCCTATGTCATGCTAAGGTCAAAACTCAGAGTTGCATGCTACTTCCTGAATACCCTGTCCAGCTTTTGTTTTTTAGGAAAAAGACATGCTCTTTCTTATTTCTTAATTATCAGGGTGCTTCTCCCACTTTCCTACAATCCTCCCTCCTCTATCTACAAGCATGATACCAAATGCAATAATAACGTATTTAAGAGGGGCCTGCGTGCACAGTGTGTGTGTGTGGTGTGTGTGCGCCGTGCCTACGTGTGTATGTGTGTGTGTGTTGCCATGTGCCAGTCATTCGGGTGCCTGCGATCACCAGCCAAGCCCTGCTGAATCCCCCCAGGGTTTCCCATTGCAACATCTCCAGCTTTGTCAAAGGGATTTCTTCAGTTGAGCCAAAAGTCTACCCCCACGTAGCATACGTTAGCCCACTGCACAAAACGGATCAGATCTAATTTTGTTTGATGCCTCTACAGTGGTGACCATGGCTATCTTTGCCCAACCAAAGTAGATTCCATAGTCAGAAAATACTAGTGGCGTGGGTGACAACAGGCAACAACCCACCAGAGCAGGGCTCCTGCAGCCCGGGAGTCATTTGTTTTTCCTAATCCTCGGCACTCAGCACCGGGCCTGGGATCATGGCGGGCGCTCAGTGAAGCTGAGCAGATGAAGGAAAGAACGAGGAACAGGCAATTCCCTTCATGGCAGGGAATCATTTCACCCAGACCCACTGTGGAAAGCTGTGGCAAGCTCCATCATTCTTGGCATCTGATCAGGGGCTGAACTAGTGACTGGCTCTGCCTTGTTCTCTCCTTGCCCTGGAAAGCACGTTAGGTTTGTCTCGGGAGGATACCCTTGGAGTCAGACCGCGATGAGGTCTTGCTTTTGCCTGTTTCTCGTGCCTTCCTTCAGGTTCTTCCATTCCCACGACTCGGTGCACTGCTGTACTTGCCTTTAAATATCACCGGCTTGGCCTTGCATATTTTCAGCAAGTTGTCAGGAACAGACACTGGTTCTCCAGAGGCCACCACTGGGAAGGTGACTGAAGCTGGTCCCACCAAGCCAACCTGGGGCACGCAGGACACGCCTGTGCTCTCTAGGAACACCCAAGAACATTAGTAAAAACATCAGACAAGGCATCCACTTCTCACACACCTGGCATCAGGCCAGGCAGCAATGCTGCTACCTCCTGATCAATGTTCCTGATTACAGGAGCACCAAAGTCTTAGAGTCACAGATTCCTAAGGTCAAGGGCACCTTTAAATTCCTTCCGTCCATCCTTGCCCCAATGGTTCGGTCTCCTCTTTGATATCCCTGCCAAGTCATAAACAGCCCCTTTTAAAATTTCCCAAGGATCAGAGAACTCACTATCATACAGGGATCCTAGACCTTGCAAAGCAATTCTAACACGTGAGAAAGAAGTCTTTTGTTACACCAAACTCTGCCTCCTTAGAACTCCCTCAGCAGTACACACGCACATTCACACACATGCACGCGCACACACGCACACATACACACACAACTGGCAGCAGCACTACCACCAGTACCCAAGTCTAGAATTCTGGGCAAGGCTGCCATCACTTACCATACTTAGCTCTGTTCCCACCACTTTGGGGGTAGCCACCGTCTGGAGCTGATGGAGATTCTGGAGACCATCCTTTGTGGCGTTTTTTGGGGGGCCCGGAGTTTGACAAGATACCTAGACAATATTCAGAGTGTGGATTAGGCTATCATCAGGAAAGGGTTCCAATAAAACTTTCCCTTGGTTTGGAGCACAATGATCTGTTTTGTTTTGTTTTTTTGTTTTTCTAATCACAGTTTCACACGGGTTTTAAGGAGCTAGTGAAATATCTAGGCATAAGGAAATGTCAGTTTTTGTAAATGTTTCATTCCAAAGTTGTGTGTGTGTCTAAACGATCTCTCTCTGAGCCCAAGCTCCTTCATCTTTAAAATGGGACACTAAACCCTACTCTGAAAGGTGGTTTGATCAGGACTAAAGAGAATGTATGTAGAGTGCTTTGTGCAATGAATTGCAGGGAGCCTGGGCCCAATAAGGTAGCCAGAATTACCCACGTCATCATCATCTTCACCACCATCATTATTGTTATGGACATATTCCAATCTGAAGGGCTGGAAGAGAGAAATACGTTTCTGCAGATGGGGGCAGCAGTATCTGATCCACCACCACAGCTCCACCGCTTGGGGGCAGTACTGATCCGCCTGTGCTCCTCTCCCTGCCCCAGCTAATTTCAGACTCAACAAAATCAAGTACAGATGCTGACACCCACTGCAATGAGTCATCCCTGCCCACTCTAGACAACAGCATGCTCATGACTCAAGCTAACTTCATGAATGTTTCAAAATATCAAGAACTGGTTTCCATAGTTTCTTGACTAACCAGACACAAAATTTCCCCTACATGTAGAGATTCACTTCTCAACCTCAACTGTACATTAAACTCAACCGGAAAGCTTTTAAAACTCTGTCTGGATGCAATCCTATCCCAGTTAAACCAGAAGCTCAGCATGGGAGCAGGACTCAGGCATCCCAATATCTCAGCGCTTCTTCTTGATTATAATGCACAGCCCGGGTGGAGAAACACCAATCAGAGCAATGGTTCTCCAGGTGTGACCCGAGGCACTGCACAGAACCGGGCCTTTTAAACCTGTGCCTACTAAACCTGTGTGTCCCTGGGCCCCGCCTTGACCTCCAGAATCACATCTCTGGAAATGACAGTAAGAAAACACCATCCTTTGTAAGCCAGCCTGGTGATTTTTTTTTTTTTTTTTTTTTTTTTTTTTTTTTTTTTTTTTTTTTTTTTTGAGACGGAGTCTCACTCTTGTTGCCCAGGCTGGAGTACAGTAGTGCAATCTCGGCTCACTATAACCTCTGCTTCCTGAGTTCAAGCGATTCTCTTGCCTCAGCCTCCCAAACAGCTGGGATTACAGGCGTGCACCACCACACCCGGCCAATTTTTGTATTTTTAGTAGAGACAGCATTTCACCATGTTGGTCAGGCTCGTCTCGAACTCCTGACCTCAGGTGATCTGCCCGCTCAGCCTCCCAAAGTGCTGGGATTATAGCTGTGAGCCACCACACCCGGCCAGCCTGGTAATTCTTAAGCACACTTAAGTGAGAACCATTGCTTTAGAGTCTCTCAAGGGTAATCAAAAAAATATTATCACCTCATTAGACTGACTAAAAGTAAATAAAAAGTTAAAAGCATAAAGTACTTTGTTTACAAAGAACTTTCAAACCCGTGGCTCCTTTGGCCCTCCCAACAACCACTGACGCAGCTGCTGTTTTCTCCTCCCTGTTTGCAGGAATGAGGCCTTTGACTCTGCAAACATCTGTCCCCAGTTGCAATGGGAGACCCCCCACAGAGGCTAAGTAAGCAGCCAGCTGCTCTAAAAGCTCTCCTGAACGACCAAAGGGGACAGGGCTTGGAAGTGGATCTCAGTAAGGATGGAAGAGACACAGATGTGTTCTCACTTTTGGACGATAACCCTATAAATAGCTCTAAGTAGACCCTAAGCCCATGGGCTCTTTCCAAATGATGTCACCAGGAGCTGCTCCCATGGTACCAATGTGGATCAATTATTTCTCAAAATGTCTCCTGGGGAGGTATTATTTGGCATTTTTGGGAGATGATTCATTATGTAGCCTGCTTGGTGCAGGACATTCTGCATGCTACCCGCTCTGTCCCAGCATCAAATGCCAGTAAGACCCTGTGCCTGGGACAACAAATCCATCCTTTACCAGAACATTTCCTACCCCCGCCCCCCAGGGGGCAGCACTTCTCCATTGGGAACCAGTGAGTGACAGGACTCAAGGCTTCAGTCAACTCCTTGTGGTATTAGACGCAGTTTCTTAAAAATTGATTTTGAGCTCTCTCCCCAGAGCAGAGGAGAAGGCCCAGGAACTCCAACACTTCAGCTGTGCTCAACACAACTCAACTCAGCCAGCGTCATGCCCTCTGGCTGGGCTCCCCAGCAGCTGGTACCAGGGGCTCCAAGATGCACGTTATCATGGTGCTGTCCTTGGGAACTGCACAGCGCCGAGGCCCCGATGGCCACATGTGGCTGCGGGACTAAGCCTGGGATGGCTGGGAGCCCCGTGCGCTCACAGGGAGCCCTCCTGCATGGAGCAGGTGCCCCCTGAACTAAGCTCACAAAGGCGATGTAATAGGTGAGTGGAGAGAGCAGCCCGGAGCCGGGATGCAGGCACAGAGCATGGAGACAGGAGGATGGGGTCACGGGGGTGGGGGAGCTCAACTGCCCAGGGCAGCCAAAATAGCAGGGAATGAGGTTCAGCAGGTGGGCTGGGGCCAGATTCTGGAAAGGCTTGAGTGCTCCCCTAGGCAATCTGGAGGAGCTCCATCTCCCACACCCCTCCATGGAGCATGGCAAGGAAAATGCAGTCAGTCCCACACAGAAGGCTTCCCAGGACCACCTTCACAGGGTCCCGGGCTGAGGGAGGCCCTCATCTCCCTGCTGTTCAGGGTGGAGGTTGGGGGGTCCCCAGACAGCCCAGAAGGGAGGCTGTAGCAGCGTGGCATCCCCAGTATCCTCATCCCCAGATGTCCAGCTCTGCAGCCACAGGGCTGCCCCCAAATGCAGCACTCGGCAGAGAAGCAGCAGTCCCTGGATGAAAGCAGGAGGCTGCCTGGAGCTCGGCTGCTGCGGAGGATGGGACTCGCTACTGCCTGGGACTTGGCTGCTGTGGGTTTCAGACTCCAGGATGGAGGCGCTGGTTGGGAACGGGAGGCCTCGGATTCTGTTCAGAAACTACATTCGCCCCTTCAGTCAAGAGTTAGACAATTCACAAGATTTTCACTAGGGAGGTCCTCCACCAGCACAGTGGAGTGGGAGCTTAGAGGCCTGCCCCTGCCTCTCTGGACCTCTGTCTCCTCCTCTGTAAAACAGTGTTGGCCTAGATGGTTTCTAAGGGTTCCTCCAGTTTGATGTCTTAGATCTTCAAATCCAATTTAGCTGAGTGCATGATGGAGGAAAGAAAGAAAGACGAGAAGTGGCTCCAGATGAGCATGGTGGGGAGAGCACTGGACTGGGAGTCCTCAAGCAGGTCCCTAGGTTGCTCCACCTGTTGACCGCTTCCTCAAACCCTCCTCTGGCAGGAGGTCTGCTCGGCCCCTTCACTCACCTCTCTCATCCATATCCTCACCTCCTCATCCCTCTTTGCTTCCTTTCTCCCTTTCTGTCTCTACATGATGCTTCCCCAACTTCTAAGTTGCAGTTCAGTTACCACCTCCTCCAGGAAGCCTTCCCTGAAAAGACTAGCCTCAGCAATGACGCTGATTTGGATGAGAACAGCCGGTACCAATTAATGAGCTGCCAGATGTGCTCTGACCTTTCACACAGCACCTCATCCCTCTGAACAACCCTTGGAGCAGAATTCTTATCTCCAGGTGAAGAAACATTTATTGAGACTTGGCCAAGGTCCCCTGACTAACAAGAGACAGCAGTAGGTTTTGAATTCATATTTATCTGATTTGGAAGCCCATGTTCTTCCCCAACAACACATTGCCCACTGTTGCTCCAAAATTCTACCATCCTGCAGCTGTGCAGCCCACAGGACAGGTCACTCGCCATCACCACAGCTGTCTCACTGCTCCTTGGCACACACGACAACTCCCAAGTGTGTCACTCATACAGTACCAGTGCCTGGACCCAGACCCATGGACTCAGGAGGCACCCGTGGTCCTGGCCTGACACTCATGGAAGCCACACCAGACTCCAGGAGGCTCAGCGGCCCCAGCCCAGCAGCTCCCATGCCCTCTCTGGCCTTGGCCCAGAGAAGAGCAGGATCCCCAGGACAGCCAGGACAGGCAGCGCTACCTAAAGCCGATGGTCGCGGCAAGGCCAACAGGTTATTCTTTGCCAGCTGTTGGCACTTTGGGGAATCTTTGCCGTTGAAAACAGCCGGACCCACTGTTGCGCTTAGTGAGGAGTGATCAGAAGCTGGTCCTGAAAGCAGATAGAAGGCAAAGAGGAGGGTCAGTTCACGAGAATGCCCTGGGAGCCAGGCAAGGAGGAAATCACTTTCCTTGCAGTTTCACAAACTAGCTTTTCCCCAGCAAGTCTCATCAGAAGATCAGAATTCCCAACAGTGATTCTGCTACACTGAGAAGATACATGCAGACACATGCATACACACACAAACACACACACTTCTGCCTACACACAACATACACATGCACAAACATGTACACACACACACACACGAACACATGCCTATATACATGCACACCCAGGAACATGCTCCCTCCTGCTCACACTCCAATGGACACACAGCCTGAGTGAAAGAAGGACCAGGGGACTTCCTGAATTCCAGGACCACACCTGAAACTGTTCCACTTCCTTCTACCTTCTCTCTCAAGACCTCTGGTTGATATGGTTTGGCTGTGTCCTCACCCAAATCCCACTTTGAATTATAGCTCCCATAATCCCCATGTGTCGTGGGAGTGACCTGGGGGGAGGTAACTGAATCATGGGGGTGGTTCCCCCATATTGTTCTCATGATAGTGAAGAAGTCTCACGAGATCTGATGGTTTTATAAAGGGCAGTTCCCCTGCACACGCTGTCTTGACTGCCGCCATGTAAGATGTGCCTTTGCTTCTCCTTTGCCTTTCGCCATGCGGAACTGTGAGTCCATTAAACCACTTTCTATATAAATTACCCAGTCTTGGGTATGTCTTCACAGCAGTATGAAAATGGACTAACACATCTGAAGTCCAGGAAAGCAGTCGGGTTTGCAGCTACCTGGGTGCAGGCTGTTCACAGGGCCCAGGGCTCCCCAGGTCTAAGGGTAATTCTGGGGACAATCATGGCTTCTGGTCTCCTGGGGCTGACAGAACTGCTTAAGTTGTCCATGTCAGTCAGAACGGTCTGGAAAGAGCTTGGGTCAGGAGTAGCACTGAATGTTTCCTGTGGGTTTAAGGGGGTGGCTCTGAAGCCAGATGACATGTGTTTGAGCCCAGTTCCACCACCTCCCAGCTGTGTAACCCTGGACACTTACTTAACCTCCCTATGCCTCAGTGTTCTCATCCAGAAAACAGGGGTGGTCACTATAGCAACTCAGAGCCACAGTGAGAACGACATGAGTTAGCAGAAGAAAGTGCCTGGAACGGTGCCTGGCGTGTAACATGCTTTGAGTACTTGCTGATACTATCATCTTATTTAATTCTTACAATTGCCCTACAAATTAGACAGAAGAGATTTGCTCAACTTTACAGATGAGGAAATGGAGGTTCAGAGGATTTGAGTTGCCCCAAATCACTCAACTAAATGGTGGCAGCACTGGAGCTTACACCCAGGCACCCCGACAGCAGAAACAGTAGGCTCTCCAGGCCATGATGGTAGAGGCACTGGGGGCCTGGGCGTGGGGAAGCAGCGAGGAGCTCTGGAGGAGAGTATGTTCCAGTCCCCTACCCAGGCAATGGATGGGCCAGGTGGGTACAAGGGCACTGGCTTCCTCCCAGGGCCAATGTGCCTCTACAGACCCACTGGGCAGGAGGCATGAAAACAAGCGGCGACCTTCCTGCGTCCTTGGGAAGGCTGGTGTCTACTGTGATAACAATCACCACGCTTAGGAAGTCTGTGCAACATGGTGAAATGCCAAGCATGTGAATCAGGGTTCACATCTAATGTCACCTCTTGCCTCCACCTCCTCCTGTCCATGAGGTCCTAGGCAAGCACCCAGCCTCCATGAGCCTCACCTTCCCAATCAGTAAAATGCGGGAACCGAGGCCTGCTCACAGCATGGTTGTTGGGTTTCAAGGCACTCACAGAGCTGGGGAGTGCTGCGCATGGGGTGAATGGCAGCAATCTGGTCTTTTCCACCCCTTCTAGCAATTCATTCAAACCCTGACTCAGAACCTTTACATAGAGAGCTCTATGCCGTGCGGGGGTTGTATGGGGGGCGGTGCTGCAGAGGGACCCTACATATGCCCCCACCAGGGGATCCCACTTCATATCAAACAGGAAGAAAGAAAAGCCCTCCCAATGAAACACCTAGCATTCTTTGTTGAAGAGTATTACAAATTCAAGATGAAAGTAAAGGTGTTATAGAAAAAGATAACAGCCCCTTGATTTATTTTGAAGAATGTTTGACTACATAGTCAACCGGACACATCAGAGACATGCCAGTGGTGTGGATTCAGCAGCCCTGGCGTGTCTCTGCCGCCTCACCTGCCTGCTGAGCTCCCGTCAGGATGCTGGGGTTCGTCCCGGGAATGGACTCGCTGGGGAAGGCAGCCGTGCTCTCCAGGGCCGGGAAGAAGGAACCAGAACAAGTACTGGTGGGGATCTGCCGGCTTCTAAACTCTAAGGGGGCAAGGTGCACATGTGAAAACCAACTCGCTCTTCTCCAATAATTACGAAATGAGTTCCTGCAGTGGAACGTGTCCTACAGGACAGTGAGCTATTGAGACAGTCACACAAGCTGCCACCACATCCTGGTCTTTGTTTCAGCAAGAAGCCAGGGCGAGGGTGTGACTCCCACTTGTGGCTCCATGCCAAGGGGCAGCTCTGGTTGTCAAGAGTGGGAGCAAAGGTGAATATTTAGAAGAAAGGGACGAATTATACAAATAAGTCACCCTACAGCTACCCATAGCCATAGACGAGAGTGTTACTTGAAGATAAACGATACCATCTTCCGCCCTTATTTCCTCCTCTGGGAAAGGCCATCCCCAGCGGCCAGTGAGGTGGAGAACCTCTGAGGTGCTTGGACCCAGCAGGTGATCAAAGATGGTGAACTGGTCCCATGCAGGGCACAACCACTGCATCCTCAGGGCCTGAGAAATGACTGGCAAGTAATAGGGGCTCAGGAGGCATTTACTGAACAAAGCAAGAAAAGCAGAGAGGAAGGAAGAACGGGGTGCGAGGGAGGTGTTCCCAGAGCCGCCCAGCCTAAGGCCTCTTCCCTCTACTCCCAGGACCTGACTGGGAGAGTCCAGAAGACAAGATGGGAACAAGCCCAGACAAGGGAGGAACACCTCACACCCCAGTCTTGCCCTCCACCCGTGGCAGACCACTGAGGATCCAGCCTCCCCCTCGCCCCACAGAGCTGACTGTGGCCATGAAAGGTACAGCTGAGACAAAGAGGGTGGCAGGGCAGCCTGCTCCCAACGTTTCTGAAAGCTGCAGCCCAATCACTTCTTCAGAGACCAGCAACGTGAAGCTGATCTTTCTGGCCATAGTTCAGGGTTCAGGGACTTGTGTGGGGCATTGTTCAAGCCGAGCTGTCTTCAGTCAGGTTCTCAGCCTTGGTGCCGGTGACATTTGCAGTGGGCTTCTTTGTGCTGGGGGCCGCCCTGTGCGCTGCAGAATGTTCAGCCATACCCTGGTCCCTACCCCAGATGCTGGTGGCACCATCCAGTCATGACAATCAAACTTGTCTCGAGTTATGGCCAAACGTTCCCTAGGGGATGAAAGTCACCCATGGTTGAGGACCACTTGGGTGAACTACTCAATTTGAGAAGATAAGAACCAGCACCCCAAATACTTGCCATAGGAGGTAATGCACAGTCTGGCCCTCTGTCAACTTTCTCTTTTTTTTGAGATGGTGTCATGCTCTGCTGCCCAGGCTGGAATGCAGTGGCACCATCTCAGCTCACTTTGACCTCCACCTCCCGGGTTCAGGTGATTCTCCTGCCTCAGCCTCCCGAGTAGCTGGGATTACAGGTGGGCGCCACCATGCCTGGCTAACTTTTGTATTTTCAGTAGAGACGGGGTCTCACCATGTTGGCCAGGTTGGTCTTGAACTCCTGACCTCAAGTGATCTGCTCACCTAAGCCTCCCAAAGTGCTGGGATCACAGGCATAAGCCACCACGACTGGCCCTCTGTCGACTTTTAAACATCCCATCCAATTAGACTGTCACTGTCAACCAGCTTAACGCCCGTAACGAAACGGAGCATTTTCCATTTCATAGGCCTGGCCTTTTGCCTGTGATGTGTGCTGCTATGCAGGGGCCTCTCCCCAGCATCACAGCAACAGCCACCGCAGGCCACTTGGGGGCCCAGCACTCCCACCTCCTCCACAGCCAACCTGCCCACCTGAGCCTTTCCAACAGATTAAAGGTCCTTTGGTGAGAGTCCCTTGTGCGTTACGGACCAGGTAATACTTCAAGTGTTTCTGCTTCTTGGGTTGAGTGGTCAGTTTCAGATTTATATGATTGGAGAATTCTGTGAAGTAACAGAAGCCTTTCTTTCCACAGCCAACACAATTCCCAGAGAAACCTGGAGAAGAAAGTAAACCATAAACATCTTTATTCTTTTATTTTTATTTTTTTTAGATGAAGTCTCGTTCTTGTCATCTAGGCTGGAGTGCAATGGCACAATCTCGGTTCACTGCACCCTCCACCTCCCAGATTCAAGTGATTCTCCTGCCTCAGCCTCCCAAATAGCTGGGATTATAGGTGCCTGCCACCATCCCTAGCTAAATGTTTTTGCAGTTTCTAGTAGAGATGGACTTTCACCACGTTGGCCAGGCCGGTCCTTTTCAAATAAGACAGAGTTCATCCAAACTCTGAAGATCCACTTCCTGTACCACCAGCCAGAGAACTCCACAAGGCAAGCACCCCACCCTCTTAGACTAGCCCAGAGGTTAAGACGGGCTCGACTCAAATAAAAAAGGACCAAGAAGACTTAGCGATAGAGATGGGCCCAGGCAAATGTGGAAGATTTAACGTGCTTGGGGGCTACTTAAACATCTATGTAGAGAGCAAACTTTGCAAGACAAGAGCCGTCCCATTCCACCGTGTACACGGATCGGGGCGCCTGAAATGATGCGAGAGCTCTTATTTCCGGAGGGTGGGTTAGTTCCACTCTCAAAGCAGTGTGACTAGTGAGATGGGCTACACTGGGACACCTCTTAAGAGTCCAAAATTCCATCCTGCTCTCAACTTGATCCCGTGAGTTTCTGAAAAGAAATCAGGAGAGCTCCGCAATGCCTGGCCGGCACGCTGGCGAGTGAATTCCGTGGCTTGGCAGCCAGTGGAGGGAGACGCTCTGCTAGAATGTGACTATCTTGCTGCTGCTGGCCTCTGCACCAGGCCTACAACTGACTTTCTGGGAGGCGACGGAGGCTCCCGTCAGCTGTGAGGCTCTAACCAAGCCTCCTACGCGGCGGCAATGACAAAAACACCTCCTGGGAGCTATTAAAATCCAGAGACATGTGCCTGAAAAGACCTTCACACACTGTAAAGTCTATTCAAACCAGAGGCAGCGGGAGTGCTGGTTAAGATGAGAAATGTGAAGACTTGGCTTCTGCCCAGGATGACTGCTCTTATTTAAACGATCATAAGATGGCCTTGCTTCACCCACTGGTATGTCTGGTTTCTACAGGTCCAAAGGCCTTCGGCTGCGGAGATCCTGAAGCTAAGACTCATGTGTCATATTCTCCATTTGATAAGTCTACAAAGGTCATTGTGCCTGAGGCTGTGAGGGCCACCCGGCTCTGTGTGTAACTCTGCTCTAAAAGTCTCCCTAAGGTCTCTGGCTAGTGTTCAAAATAACTCCAGTTAGTGAAGGTTAAAAACATCTCCACAGATAAATAAGACATCTACATTACAGAGGCCGACTGGACTCCCTGATCTATTTTGAGCGCATTTAGTCTTCCTCAAAAGGCATTAGAAATAAGGACAGATCTCTTGGCCTCACCATAAGGACAGTTACAGGATAATTTACCTTCCACAGTCCTATTCCCTCTGTGCCAGCACAAACAGTAAGGTCCTGACATGAAACACTGTCCTCTCCAAGTGCTCGCTTTCCATGGGACAGGCAGGGAACTAACACGCACAGGGAACCAGGGCCATTCTTGCCATTCATCTCAATCCACAAGTGCCACGGGAGCCAGTCAACCTGGAGGGCAAGTCCTTCTTTGTGAAATCAGAGAACCAGAGAGGCCCGTTGTTCAAATCCATAGGTACAGAAAGTGTGGCATCCAACTCCAGCCTGAGGATGACGTCCTTGCCCACAGGCCTGGCATCCAAGGCTGCCCTGATGCCCCCTGGCCTTCATCTCCAGTTGTATTCCTGTCCTTCCTCTGATATGCTAATTCCCAGCTGGACTCCTCTGCCTCTCAACCCAGCCGGCTCCCACTGCCCTCCATCGACAGGCTCATCCTCTCCTCCGGGGCCCCACCTGTACACATCCAGCCCTCACTCAACATCCTGCTCCAGTGCCTACTCCCAAGAGCCTTCTGTGACCCAAAGGCTGGCTGGCAGTTTCCTCCGGACTCCAGGCTCTTCCTGTAGCTCAGGGGCCTCTGAACACCCCAGTGATTGAAATTTGTGTCTTTCTCCCATCATTATTCCTCTAAGCTCGCAGCATGACTGCACGTGTGAGCTGTGTGTGTGCAAGTGTACAGGTACTGACTAATGCCCCACACATGGCAGGCAGCCAGTTAATATCAAGAGGGAAGAAAAGAGAGAGGAAACAGGGTAACTGTGAACAGCAGCCTGTCAGGGTTTCTGTAAGCACTCTGAAGGAATAACCTCATGTCTTTATTCATTGGCCTCCAACTTCGGGACGTTTGAGATAAACCCGGCTCAACTGCTGCCTAAAAACAAGGCCCGAAGAAACCTTCAGAGCTCCCTGGAAGGGCTTCTAAGCCTGGTGTTTAAAAGATGGATGAACAGGAAACAGAACTGCAAGACGCTAAGAGCAACTTGCCAAGGCCAGGCTGTCATCCCTCTCCAGAGACAGCTAAGCAGGTTACAGGCCTCTGTCCCATAAGAAACACGGGCTGGGGACCATGGCTGTGCTGCAGAGGCCATCTCCATCTCCTCCGATGGGATGGGAAGCACAGACAACAGGGAGCCCTTTGTGATTCAGAAATGAGGGTGGACACCCTGGGTCTTGCTAGTACAGGAAACATTTAGGGACTCAGCGAGCAAACTGCTTTTCTGCTTTGGCAAAAACTTTCTGGTCAGGAGACCCAGCTGCTCTTCTGTGAGGTGTCTTGGAGAGATAGCCACAGAGGCCAACCAAGAAAACCACAGGAGAAAGAGGAAAATAATGAACTGTTCTCTTCAGAAATCTACCTTAGGACTTGGAAGTCTAGAAAGTTTTTTTATATGATAGGCTTAGAAAGCATGGGATCCTGCCTGAAATCTCAAATTCCTGCTGGGTGTGGATATCCAGAATCGAAATTCTTCCTTCAGTGTCCTCACCATGGGAAACAGTCCATCATAAACACGATTCTTGTCACCACGCACAGCCACACCCTGTGATTTTCCCGTGTGTCTAGTTTAGCAGCTACAGGTAGCATTTGTTTAACAAGCACGTCCTGGGTGGACATGTGTGCTGGCCGCTGAGCAAGCCTCTCCCCTTCTGCTGAGAGGACAGCTACATCCACTCCCCCAACCCTTGCAAGGGAGTGTGTATAAACCTGGATGTCTGAGGGGCCTGGGTTCAAATCCTAACTACAGTTAGGTGATGTGAGGCAGGTAACTAACACCTCCGAGCTTTTTTTCCTCATCTGTCAACAAGGCGACAATAGCGACTTCATAGTGCACCTGTCATGGGCCAGGCACTGTGTCAAGCACGTTATAAATGTTCTCATTTAAACCTCATGAAGTCTGACAAAGCAATCAGCAGCAGTGTCCCAGTTCATAGATGAAAGCATCAAGGCAGAGGGAGAGACAGAAACCCATCCATGGTACAGGGTGACCCAGCCACGGCTACAGGGTAGAAAGTGCTGGAGTTAGGATTTGAACGCATCTCCTCCCAAAAACCCACCTTGTAGGAGCACTATGGGGGTGAAGTACCTACGAGATGTCTAACATGTCAGGGGCACTCTGCAAGCAGCCCTCCTTTCTCTACCCCGGACTAAGCTGTATTAGGAAGGCGAGCACAGTAGGGGTCATGACACTCATTTGCGGCCCTAGGGGAGCAAATAGATAGCCCCCACTCCTCCAACAGTGTGAGATGTGGAGGAAGCAGCTCCATTTCTCTGCATTTCCATGTTCCAACCATCAAAGGGAAGGCTATGACTAAATGGGCCCTATGCCTCCTTCTAGGACTCAAGTGACATGATTCTTCTTGGAAGCATCCGTAGGTGGCTTCCTTCAGACCCAGTGGTCTCTGAGCACTTGGCTCATAGCAGGCTGGAGATGGCCCAGATTTACTGCTGGGGCCACTCCCTCTGCAGAGGGGTCCTCCCACAAAACCTCAGGGATGCCTCTAGAAGTTCACCTGTACCTGACCTTTCTTCTAGAACCACAGTCCAAGGAGATCTCGCTGATTGCCACTGCACCAGAGCTGGGAGCCACAAACATGTCCCCCACGCCTGATGCCTCCATCCAGCGCCTTCCCACGAGAGTGGATGCTCAGAAGGGCCTTACTCTAGACCACTGTCCCTGTGCAGAGGGCCACTTGGCCCTAGTTATCAACCCTCCATGAAAAAATGCAAATCTGACGGATACTGTTATGCACAAATATGTTTAGAAAGAAAATCTGATAGGAAACGAACCAAGTGCTCTGGGCAAGACATACATTAAAAATGCATGGTTCATAATTGGGTAACGTTTTTGGTTAAAAAAAGAAATGGTCCCTGTTAGGAAGAATGAACACAGTTAAATAATCCCACGATTGAGGCAGAAGGACCGGTAGCAATGACAGCAGTTCCTCAAATTCGGGCAGCATTTTCGAGTTTATAAAGATCATCATATAAAGAGCTGAGTTATCCTCAAAACCGCAGTCAGGTACCGTGTACATCTTTATCCCCTTTATAGATGGCAAACCTGTAGCCCCAAGGCAGGAAGTACTTCTCTGCCAAGATGGGACTGGCTGTTCCAGCACAGTGTGCTATGGGGAAGAATGGGGAAACAGCAGGAGTAATTTAGGAAGGCAATTCCAGGAAGACATCCTGGCAAGTGGGATTTAAATTGGACCTGAACAGCAACTCTCTGTTCCTTCCAAATAATGAGCCTTGAAAGCCCACGAGCTCAGACGAGCACACACTACACCTACCAACTAATGACCACGCTCCCCGTGCCTGAACATAAGCAGTTACTTGGGACAAAAATAAGATCATCTTTGGCTCATTGTGCCATATTAATTGAAAAAAGAAAACACAGAATCTGGGAAACATTATTTTAAATCCCCGCCTGCATAGAGAAAGGAAAAGCCCATGGGCAAAGTAAAACAAGGTATTTTATATATATATATATATATATATGCCCAGAGGCCCTGCCTTGGTATTTTGGCCAAATCCCAGCTCAAGTGTAGAAATGGCCCCCTTGTGTTGGGGAAGCCTAAGGAGCCGTACCAGGATTCCAGGTGAGACAGGAAGTGGGGCAGGGGTCCCAGGTGTTCCCAGGGAAGATGAAGCACTCAGGGGTGGTAAATAGTATGATGTTGTGAGGTTTGAAACATAAAACTCTCAGGCCATCGTACTCCTCTAGAATCCTGCAGTAAGTTCATAACTAGTTCTTCTGCCTCAGTTTCTCCCTTTGCATAAAAATCAGTTGTGTGTCTGACTTCTAAGCGATCTTCTTAAAACACAAATTAAAACACAGTCATCTAAATTTAACATCTAACACTCTAAATATCCTTAAAAATATCAATTATAAGGGTAAAACAAGGGAGGAAGGACCTATACATTAAGAAAAATTTGAGACACAGCAGCCAAATGCTTTAGAAGACCCCTGTCTGGATCTTGATATAAATGCACCAATTGCTTTAAAAAAAACTGTAAGATATAATTTGAACACACTGAATATTTGATAATATTAAATAACTGCTAAATCTTTTAGATATGATAATGGTATTGGATTTCTAATGAAAAGCTATTTTTTTGTTTTGTTTTGTTTTGTTTTTTTAAATGGAGTTTCACTCTTGTTGCCTAGACTGGAGTGCAATGGCTTGATCTCTGCAACCTCCACCTCCCAGGTTCAAATGATTTTCCTGTCTCAGCCTCCCGAGTAGCTGTGATTACAGGTGCCTGCCATCATGCCCGACTAATTTTTGTATTTGTAGTAGAGACGGGGTTTCACCATGTTGGCCAGGCTGGTCTCGAACTCCTGGCCTCAGGTGATCCACCCCCTCGGCCTCCCAAAGTGCTGGGATGACAGGCGTGAGCCACCGCACCTGGCCCCAATATCTTTTAGAGATAATGCCGTGTGGAAATTTACAGATGAAATGATACAATGTCTGGGATTTGTTTCAAAATCATCCCAGAAAGGGAGAAGAGGGGCACATTATCAACGAAACAAGATTGGCCATGCGTTGGTAACCATGAAAGAAGGCTAGATCACCTCATACCACGAGACTCTGTGCTTCTGTAGTTTGAAAACAGCTCCTTTTCCGAGCAGAACCCAGCTGGGCATCCCACCCTGCCGCGCTCTCTACCAGCCTCCGCTCCAGCCACAGAGCACTCCAGCCACTTCTCCAGTGTGCCATGCTGTCACGCACAGGGAGTTCCCTCTGCTGAGACGCCCTTCATCCTCCAGGACCTGGGCATCAGGGCCAGACCGTCGGGGTTCAAACAGCGGGGTGGCCCTGAGCAAGTCAGTTAGCCTCTCTGTGCTTTCATGTCTGTATATAACTCTAGATAATAACAGACCCACCACATTGGCTATTTTAACTTATTTCGTGCAGTTTCTGGCACATGATAAATGCTCAAAAAGTGCCAACTGCTCTTAGTGTTTGGTTTCTGTTGCTGTTATTCTCCAATTGGCAAAATTCTACTCATTTTTCAGGGCTCAACTCAGATACCACATCCTCCCATTCCCATCCTCACTGGACCCCTCCGATTCCCGGAGCACCTTACCCTCTCTGTAGACCACGTCGCACAAGGATGTATTGTAAGATTTACTGACAGAGTTGTTTGTTGTGGATTTCTAGGCTGATTCTTGGTGTGCCTGCGTCCCCCCACCCTGCCCCCAGACGTAACTGAAGGTCCAGGCTTTCGTTTCAGGTTATATACTCAGTAAATGCATGCTGAATTCTTTGCCTGCTGAATGAACAAAGGACTCGTTTACTCCCATCTAAGAAAAAAACAATCTAGTGGGATATGTTTTCCTTCTTTATGTCTGAGCTGTCAACTCATTTAGATAAATTACCGGGCAATAAACTGAAACAAACACCTAGATTTTAATCTTTCAGCTTTTTCAGATAAAATACCTGAGTTGATTAAAAGTCACTAAAACAAGTCTCCTAATACTGCTGCTTCCTCCAAGGTATTCCCCAGCCTGTATTTTATAGATCACTAAAAAGCACTGAGCCCTGCCGCTGCAGGGCTGGGGGGCGCCACCTTGTCCTGTGTAGCCATCAGACTTAATTGCAGGAAACCTAAACAGTGTTAAGTATGCAAGCTGAGAGCATAAAGTTATTTTATTAAAAGAAGAAAGCGATGGTTATTACCAACCAGGCCTTGTCACCCATTTCAGATGGCTTTTGGCAAGCAATTAACAAAGCTCCTACTTCCTCTCTTCGATGAGCTGGCTCTGTTACTGAGCTGGTGGTGAAGGAACTGAAAGATCCTCGTCTCTGCAGGCCAAGAGGCAGAGCCTCCTTGATTTACTGCCCTGGCAATTCCTTTACAGTCACAAAGTGGTGGAATCCAGACGAATCCCCGGCCACTGCCAGATCAAACGCTAAGGCGGCCACCAGGCACGGCCTCCCAGACTCACTTTCATCCTGGGCGACTGTCGTAAGCGTTCAGTCTGTCATTGAATGATTCCATCAGCTTCTTTGCTAGAGTGGCTTTTCTGGGATGATTCTGTTTTAGAGAACTGGTTACAGTGAGTCCATGAGCCTGCCTCAAGAGAGTTGGCCAAAATGTTTTCTCTCCTTCGTCACTGTCTAGTGGTGTTGTCCCTCCAGCGAACATTCACCTGCCTTGTGTCGGAGTTCACACACGTGTGTGTCCCCAGCGCCTTTGTGGTAGGAGCCATCTCATTTCTTCTCCCTTCTCCATTTTCATCCTTTGCACAGCTCCTCAGACATAAAGTGTGCTCAATAACTACCCATGGAGTGAGTTTATCCTCCCAGCTTTTGGGGCCGTATCAAGTGCAAAACTGGAGGCTTCAATGTCTATACCCATGGAAAATATGTAAGAAATTGTGGGGGTTTTCAATCTAGAAGTTTTTCCCATAAATCCTCACAATCAAACTTGCTCTGCATGAAGACTGTTCCTGAGGCTACATCTGAAGTGGATCATTACCAATCCTGCCTCCCGCCCAGATTGCCTCCAAAGAAGATGCCAGGCCAGATCGAGGGGGCTGGAGCCACAGTCACAGGATGAGAACAGCCAAAGGGCCAGGGCACATGTGGAAGTCACCTCCCTGCTTCATGGATGAGGACACAGAAGCCCAGGGGGCCACACAGGGACCTGTGGGCAGATGCAGGACAGGAACCCAGATCCCTGGGCTCTCAGTCCACACCTTGGTGTCCCTAGATTTTACTCCACAATGGGGGAGCCTGCTGAGTGATGGCCTGGCACACAGTAAGAACTCAATTACATCATATGAGCAAAGGCAGCCAGGCTTGGCAAGGCCTGGCCCCAGCTCTGCACTCAGAGCCTTAGTGGGCCAACGGTTGTTGGAAAGATCAAAGGCTAGTGGTGCCCAGGGCTGGAAGGGAAAGCGGCGGCTCCCCCATCTTGACCCCATGTTGACCTTGACGGTGGGATGGTACCAGCTAGAATCTGGAGCCAGGAGGACTTGAGTTTGAATCCTGGCTCTGTCCCCTTTACTCATGCGACCTTGGGCAAGTTAACAGATACAAGCCTACCTATAAAACTGGGATAATAAAGACCACCTCTTGGCTGGGCGTGGTGGCTCCTGCTTGTAATCCCAGCACTTTGGGAGGCCAAGGTGGGCAGATCACTTGAGACCAGGAGTTCGAGACCAGCCTGGACAACATGATGAAACCCCATCTCTACTAAAAATACAAAAATTAGCCAGGTGTGGTGGCGCGCTCCTGTAATCCCAGCTATTTGGATGGCTGAGGCATGAGAATCGCTTGAACCCAGGAGGTGGGGGTTGCAGTGAACTGAGATAGTGCCAGTGCAACCCAGCCTGGGCAACAGAGAGAGATTCCATCTCAAAATAAACAAACAAACAAACAAGCAAACAAGCAAACAGACCATGTCTTGAGAGATGAGTGATAAACCAAAGGGGAAAACAGATACAGGGTGCCTGGCAGTCCTTCAGGACAGAACATTCTGGAGGCAGCAACACACTCAGCCTCATTCTCCTCTGCCTCTGTAGGCTATTTCCGAGACTGTCTAGGACAGGGTTTGTCACCCATTCCTGACACAAGCGGGCACTTAGGGAGGTCTGAAGAATAAATGTATGAAAAATGAATGCTAAATGGTGAGCTTTCTGCAGGGATGCAGTCATACTGTAAATGCATCTCATTTGCATTCCATTCCACAAAGAACTCTTCTACCAAAAAACATAAACAGGGCTGCATGCTGCACCTGGGGTCCCAAAGATGGTCCCTCTGTTGCCACCACCCCCCGCTGTGACCTCCCTTGACCTTGCTCTACCCCAGTGCAGAAAGAGCCACAGAGGAGGACAAAGCAGAACTTACCAAGAAGAGCATTGTGGCCATTGTCATCCGGCAAGAACCTCTTGTCAACGGCGCACACCAGGAGATGGTCCGGTAGGCTGGGGGACTTGGCCCCCACGAGGAGAAAGCCCGCAGGGACGTCAATGGGCTCGTTGGAAATGGAGACGAGGCGCAGGTCCTTCCCGGCCTGACAGAACCCTAGGAGGGGTGGACAGGGCTCACACACTGCCCAGGGCTTCCCAGAAGCGGGGTCACAGGGGCAAAGGGAGGAAACGCTCTGGGTCTGCTCAGGAGAAACCCTTATCTCTGGGTGTGCTTGACCTCAAAATTAATCCTGAGAGATAAAACTATAATCTTAGTTGGCCGGACATGGTAGCTCACGCCTGTAATCCCAGCACTTTG